CGGCGCGGGGGCAGAGCGAACCGAGGGCGGGTGCCCCTCTGGTCAGACACGAAACGCGAGGGAAGAACGGGCGGCGGTGGTAGATGGTGCCAGGATGTACGTCTGGGTACTCGCTCACGGGCGGTGCTGCGTCCCTGGGAGGGAGGAACGGTCTACCTTCACCCAGCTCGGGCGTGCGCCCAGCCCGAGCGTTTTGAGACGCTTCGCAGCAAATACTGATTAAAACCGGCATTGCCCGGCTTCAGTTTCAGGTTTATCGCCTCTGTTTTTATTCTACATCCTACCGTTCATATTGCAAAGCACTTGGGTATTACAGTGCTCTTAGAGCCCTGCGCAGGTGTAAGAAGCCAGCTTCCTACCGAAAGCAAGCTGTTTTTGCTGGTTGAACAGTGCTATTGTAGACTCACTTAGAAGGAAGTTAAAAAGTCTCCATCCCAGTGCCATAAATGATATAAACAGTCTCACAGATCACGCGAGTATGAAGTATGCAATGATTTTTTTTTGTTATTATCACTACAAATTTTAGTACAACAGGATGAGTGTCACCTCCAGTAAGTTCTTCCAATCTCCTGAAGAAATCAGCATTATGAGACTGTCCTGTGTATCTCTGCATACGTCTGTCACTTAGAAAACTTCTGAGGCCGTTGGCTAATTTCAGCCGGATCTGAAAGATGCAAATGTGTGTCTGAAAACTAACAGATGGGGAGAGGAGGAGAACCTGAAATCTGCACTCTGCTGCAGGAAAAGCAGGCGTAAATTAGTCCTTGTTTGTTCTTTATAGCAGTAGGTGGCTGGGCCACCTATACATAGGCTTATAATAGATACACATATGTATATTTATAATTTATACACCTATGTATTCCGGATGTACGCAGAGTTCTCCACTAGCTGGTGCATGAACAGGAGGAAAATCACCTGATATGGGAAGTGAGAAAGAACTGCGAATATTGTCATGGATGGAAAAAAGAATTTAGAGGACAAAAGTTACAAAGCTTGCTTTCTTACAGGTTTGCAACTTCAGCTTCTAACAGCAACAGCATACCATTTTTTTTTAAATGTTCCTTCTGTAGCAGGCTTGTGGGTTTTTTTGGTTTGGGCTTTTTTTTTTTTTTAAACAAACAGTTCCCAACAGCCCCTTTGTACTGACTTCTCTATAAACTATACTTTGAAGATCTTGAGGTACATCTTGGCTTATGTACTGTGTTCCTTCCAGACCTGCTTATTTAAAACAGCCTTTTCCCAAATTTGAAAATTGCGTATGTTAAGTACTTCTCTATAACAGTCATCTCAGTCTTCAAACAGATTTGTTTTATAGGGTGAAAATGAACGTAGGAGTTGCCCACAGCGAGGTAAATCCAAACACGCGGGTGATGAACAGTCGTGGAATGTGGCTGACATACGCGCTTGGAGTTGGCATGCTGCATATTGTCTTGCTCAGCATTCCTTTCTTTAGTGTCCCTGTCGCCTGGACTTTAACAAATGTGATTCACAACCTGGTAAGTTCACTCTCTTGTAACAAAATTCAAAAAGTTGTTCATACGTATCTGCTTTTAGTAGCAGGAGAGGAAAAAATAGCCAGGCTGTATGCATAATGAAATCCAGCTAGCCAAAACACCACCTCTACTTGGCTTATCCACTGTGAAATGAATTGGCTGTTTTTGGGAGGAATGATACATGGTCACTTTGGGTTTAAGCACAAAAGGTGTGAAATATTTCTTGCATAGTTTATGTATTCTTTTAAAAGGTATTTAATTAAGCTAGAATCTTGCAAACACAAAATCATCATGCCAACCGACTTTTACAGTGGTTTGTATATTATTAGAGAGCTGTGCTGAATCCAGAAAATAGATTACATTTTTAATTCTTGGATATTATCTGCTAATGTTTCTACATAAATCTGTTAGTATCCCAGAATGTTTAATTTCAGCACTTTATCTGTTTCCTTGGACAGAAACATTTGTGTTCTTCATGTGTTCTTGTGTTCTTCTTGTGTTGATTTCTGGTCAGGCTAGGTACATTTTAGCTCAGAATGACTTCAGCATACAACTTTGTCACTATACGTGACATAAGAAAAATCTTACTTAAAAACTGTGGGAAAAACTGGATTACCTTGACCCAAGCCCTGAAACCATTTGTTATTCAGTGGGTTCTGATTTGCATGATGACTTTTGTATGCAAAAGGATTTGGAAGACGAAGACCTTAAGAATCTTTCTGCCTCCTCTCCCCAGGATGGTATAATTTTCTTGTAATCATTTAAAGTAATGCAAGTATGTATATTGGTCCTGCCAAGCTTAGACAAGAGAGCCATAATCCAACAATTTACGTCGTACTTGAGGTTTGCTAACTCAGCTTTCTAAGATTAACAGCAAAAAAGTTGTGAGAAAAAGATAGCTTCTTCCTTATTTAGGAAAATGATAGTTCACTTTGAAGGCTGTGGTGGGATTATACCCTCTTGAATCCTGTAAAAAACAAAAATTGAGCTTTTTAATTTTGTAGATAGGTTTAAAACTAACAGTGGGATTGTAAGCATCATTACAGCATTTTGTACATTATCTGTCTTTGACACTATCAGACATGCCTGACTTCAGGTGCATTTTGTACATTATCTATCTTTGACACTATCAGACATGCCTGACTTCAGAAGATGTTGGCAGAGACAAGTATTACTAAATATTTCCTGAATGCCTTACCAAATTCATTGCAAGTAGCTACAATGACAACAGGGATGAGAGTATGCACTGGCAAGTAGTTTTCTAGTTTTTTTTTCTAGTTTTCTAGGAACACTAGAAGATGAGTATAAACTGCACT